ATAGGGACAGATCAGGGCTCTCCCTTCCAGAAAGCCTTCTATGGATACCACTGTTCACTTGAGCTCCACCTTCCTGGGGGCTCATATCTACTGAGTCTGCTCCTTTCACTCATGCCCTTGGGTGGCCACTGGGTTCTCTGAGCCGGTCTCTTTGCCCAAACATATGAGCTCACTCCAGAGAGTAGAGGAGACCCTTATCTCCAGGCTGCCTCCCTGACCTCTGCAGATCTGGAGAGAGCAGTCACTCCATAGAAACATCTGTAGACCTAGGCTCTTGGTAGGGGGAGCCCAGCTTAGATGGAAGCTCTATTTTCAGCTGGGTCACATCGCAACCTTGGAGAACTTCCTAGCCCAAGTCCAGGCCATCAGCCAGTTCTCTGGCACCCTGGTACCCTCTGTATTTGTTTTAACAAGTGCTCTGATTTCCTCAAGGCCAGTACCCACACCTAACTTGAATTGTTTTCTTTTTTTTTTTTTTTTTTTTATATTTTCTCCTATGTGGAACTTCTCATGCCTGGAGGACATTTAACCATCTGTTGCCATTTGCTGTTCTGAGGTTTTTTGCTGGATATGACTTTGGTCTTTCTAACTAGACAGTGAGTTCTTTGTCCTTTCTCTGATGCTTCCAGTGGGAGATCAGAAGGACTGGGTTAACACAAGAATGATGGAGTGGTGATGCCTCCAAGCCAAGCAGCAAAAACTAATGAGGTTAAGTAGTTGTGTGTCCTCTGAACTGTCTGTCTTGCCCACCCTTCTTTGGGGGTACCAGGGATCAAACCTAGGGGCAGTCGGCTACTGTGCCACATCCCCAGCCCTATTTTGTATTTTATTTAGATACTGGGTCTCACTGAGTTGCTTAGCACCTCACTGTTGCTGAGTCTGGCTTCGAACTCAATATCCTCCTTCCTCAGCCTCCCAAGCCACTGGGATTACAAGTGTGTGCCTCCATGACTGGCTGAACTACCTATTTTCATCTGCAACCTAAATTCCTTCCCAGAGAGTGTCAGCCTGGGCCTTCAGCTCCCCCATCATTAAGGCTTAGATGAATTAACACAATATTGACCCCTGCCCAAGTCGGATTAGCTGTTGGAATCTATAAACTCCATCCTGAGTGCCTACTGTGCACCCATCACTATAAAAGGGCTTCAGAGAAGGAGGAGAGATCACTGGATTCCTACTATCCACAAGTGCACCATCTAGATGGAGAGAGAAATTTACAGGCAAGAGAGCCAGAGCACATCCAAGGATGTGTGGCCACAGCCAGGGCTGCAGAATGTGGTTCAGTTGGCACCAGATGGAAGAGAGTGATGGGGGCTCAACTAGAGGGAAGTAATGCACAAAGGGCACCCCCTCCCTCCTTGAAGGAGGGGAGGATGAGCAGGAGGCAATGGTGAAGCCTGAGTTCTTAACTCTCAATCCCACCTGGGGCATCCTGACACCCACCAGAGATGAATCAGCAACAAAACTGACAAACCCAGACCGAAAATGAGAAGCACTTGTTCCCAGCTCCCACTTCCATTTGCCACTCTTCTCCCTCCCTTCCCCCTGCCTCTCTCTCTCTCTCAGTGGTTGGAATAATTGTGGCCATGAAGTGGCACTTGGATAAAAAGTTTTAAATCTGCTTAAATGTCACAGTGAATAATACTTTGCCCCTATCTTTACCTAATTACATTTCTCTTTGATGATCTAAGGTTAAAAAAAAATTAACTCAAGTCTTCCTAGAATATCAAGGGCAAGGATGCCAAAGATCCAACCTAAACATGTTCCATACTATTTTCTCAGGGGTCCTGCTCCTTTACTGCATTCATTTGAGATACCTGTCTGTATTATTTCCTCCTCCATGCTCTGCTGTGGCAGAGGGAGAGGTGAGAGCCTAAGGGATCCAGCTCTGTGCCTTTAAGAGATCAATGCCTTGGCAGAAGCGGCTTCTGCTGCTGTTTACACAGGTAACTCAGTCACAACAGAACGGGTGTCCTGGCTTTTTCTGCCCCAGCAAGCTGGGGGAAGATGGGACAACTCTCCATATACCTGCCAGAAAGCTGAGAGGTGAGGGATGTACTACTCCCCTAAAAGAAGATAACCTAAACCCAAAATGAGCCAATATCAGGTGGGCTAGAGGAGAGGGTGGGAAACTTGCCTAAGAAAGAAAAAGCTCACCCTGGCCTTGGGTCCTCATATGAAGAGGCACAGAACAGAGGAACAGTCTTGCAGGGACCTGGAATGGGCATCTGGAATAGGTGCTCCCATTCATTAACAACTCTACTCCCCCATTCATTCCTGCTCAGGGACGGCTTTTATTTATGTATTGGCTATTATTATTAATAATAATGTGAATAATTGAACACCTGTGAATGATTTACTTGGCCCTGGAGGTGGCGGGGGTGATGGCAAGAAGAAGAGGGTAAACCTTGACCCTGTCCTGTGCAGCCCCTCTTTTCCAGTTGCCTTCAGCTGTCTGCCTTCACTTCCCATTGTCATGACTTTGCTTTGAGGGGGTGGGAGGCAGAGAGAAAAAAGAAACCTCAAGTAGGAATTACTCTCCTTAACTCCCCTGTGATGGCAGAAAATATATTCCACTCTGCTGTGAGATCCTTGCAAGCACCAGCAATGCAAGATGATGTTGCAAGAGATATTTTAGATAGTTATTAGACTCTGCTGATGTGTCCTGGGAAAGGGGGCTCTCAACCTGGTAAGCGCCTACACACACACACACACACACACACACACACGCATGCGTGAATGAGCACAGAGTATGGATACAAACAGCATCTGTGCACATGACCAGGCTGCATTCACACAGGCACACAGTCGGAACTAGACATATGCACACAGCTCCTGCCACACACATAAACCCTCCGTGTACTCATCAGAGACATGTCCACCTAACTACAGTATACCACAGGTACACCAAGCACACAGCTATACCAGGCAGACTCTATATGAAGTTTCTGTTTCATTCCATCAACTTAGGCGATTCTTGGACCAACATATAATACTGGAAGATGTGAGCCCGTGGAACGCCAGTTACAAAATCAACTATACTTACAAACGACTCCATCAAGCAAAGGCAGGAGAATCTAAAATGAAAGGATGAAGTTCCACAGTTCTCAGAATAGTACTTGCTCTTTGGTTTGGGCCCCCATCATCAGGAAGAGGTTTCCGGAGAGGACTGGGGCTCTGGGGCTGCGAACCTCAGGGTATGGGAACCTCCGGGCCTCGGCCTCCTCCAGCGCTGGAGAGTACGGCTTTGTGGTTGTACCAAACGGGTTGGCCTGGGTTTTCAGGCTGCTGGGGTTTCGTTTGTTTAAATAAAATTTTAAACATATTGACTAGTAACGTAAGGTAATTCATGGGTAAGAATAGAAAAGCCCTAAATACCCGAAAGTGGCCCGTCGGGACTCGCCGGGGTTAGGCCAGCAGCTCCGCCCAGCCGTCCCAGCTCCCAGTCCTGCAGCCCGCAGGAGAGCGGGAGCGTTATTCTAATTGGCCCCCGCTTCTGAAGCCAGGAAAAAGAAAGAAAGAAAAAAAAAAAAAAGCTGTCCTGGAAAAGCAAATGTAGAAGAAGGGCTGCAGGTAAACACCATTAAAATGAAAACCTGCTGCCCCAGCCAAGTTCACCACCAGTCTTCGCCCCCAGAGGCGGGGCTGCTCCGCCCGGCTTCCGCGCCCGCCACTCCCTCTCTCGCGCAGCGGGTGTTCCAGCCCCAGTGGGCTTCGGGGGGAGTCCAGCGGGACTCGGGCAGGGCAGCCGGACTCTTGGCTTTATCCCACAGACGCAACTCCCTGCCTCGCACCTCTGGAGCCGGAGGTGCTGCAAACGAAACCCGCAGGGGCAGCGCATGCCGCGCGAGTCAGGGTCCGGCTGTAGCCCGGTTAGCCATTCAGCGGCTTTATTTCTTTGATGGTGAGTTAAGAAAAAAAAAAAATTCCAATTTGAACCAGTAAAGCAAACGAGGGCAAAAATTAAGTCGTCCCTGGTGTTGGCTCACAAGCCACCGCGCCCAGCGCCTTCCTCGCTCCTTGGCAGGCGAGCGGGCCCTGGCATTCCGCTCCTACCTTCTTCCTCCCACCAGCTGCTGGCCCAACCGGCCGCTGCTCTCCGGGACAGGGGAAGCCGTCCGGGACCGAAACACCCACCTCCCGCCTTCGGTGGCGGGCCAGGACGGAGAACGAACCAGGAATCTCTACTCCCCGAACCCCTGGCATGGCCCGTCTGCTCCCCAGCCCCATCCTCCCAGGTGGCTCGAGTGGCGGTAGATGCCAGGTGAGAGGGATAAGATTTGGGTTGCTCTGGAAGGCTGGGGATGCGAGAAGGAAAAAAGCGAAGATAGACACAGACAGGGAGAAACAGGGAGAGCGCGCGCGAGAGCTCTTGTCTACAGATTTATCCACATAATATATATTTATGTAGCTTTTTTTTTCTCTCGACACTGATCAATGCGCACTCGGATCGCTGGGCGGACTCCCTCCAAGCCAGCTCGCTTTTTCTAGTCTAAATAAATAAATAAATAAAGCCAGATGGGAGAAAAAAGCGCCCATTCCACCTCCGCCGCCTTCGCCGCCGCCCCGCCCGCCATCCATGCCTTCGCTTCGCCCGCCTGTCGCCCTAATAGAGCGCAGCTCGGTGGATAACTCCCCCCTACATACCCACACGAAAATGAAAATCAAATGTTTTTAAAATAGAAAAAGTTGCACCTGCTGCTATTACAAAAAGAAGCCCCAAAAGGCAAAGAGAAGAGGCCGGCAGCCCGGTTCCTAACAGGCACCCGCTGCCCGCTGCCGCCGGGCCCGGAATCTCAGCGCCTCCCGAAGAGCCATGCGCCTGGCGCTATTTATAGCCGGGGGCCGTCTCGGACTGTACCACCGCGGCTCCGCGGGGCTGCCGACAGGGGAGGCGCGGCAAGGCCGGCGCCGCCCCATGCCGCCCTGCCCCCGGCCGCCGCCCGCCGCGGTGCGGGCTCCCCCCCACCAGCGCGCCCACTCCCGGCCCCCCGCGCTCCCTTCCTCCGCGCGCGCACACTCGCCGCCCCCACCCCTGGTCTGGCTGGGAACTTGAACCGGTCCAGCCTGTTTAAACGGAAAGGACAGAGATCCTGTCTGTTCAATGTAAAAAAGAAAAAAAGAAGAAGAAGAAGAAGAAGCAGAAGAAGAAAAAGAAGAAAGAAAAGAATCAGATCAGACCGAGAAAAGGAGAAAGAGAGAACGAGAAGAGAGAGGGAGGGAGAGAGAGAGAGGGAGGGGAGAGGAGAGAGAGCGCGAGCGAGAGAAGAGAGGAGAAAGAGAGAGAGAGGGAGAGAGAGAGAGAGAGTGAGAGAGAGAGAGAGAGAGCAGAGAACGAGAGGAGAGCGAGGTGTAGAGAAACCGAGGGGGAGAGAACCCGAGTGTGTGTACGCGTGTGCGTGTGTGAGCGCGAGCGAGCGAGTGAGGGAGAGGAGCGAGAGAGTGCGAGCGAGAAAGAATAAAAGGAAAGAAGATTTTCTCTATGTATATAAAGATGGCCACGTTAGCAAACGGACAGGCTGACAACGCGAGCCTCAGTACCAACGGGCTCGGCAGCAGCCCGGGCAGCGCCGGGCACATGAACGGATTAAGCCACAGCCCGGGGAACCCGTCGACCATTCCCATGAAGGACCACGATGCCATCAAGCTGTTCATTGGGCAGATCCCCCGAAACCTGGATGAGAAGGACCTCAAGCCCCTCTTCGAGGAGTTCGGCAAGATCTACGAGCTTACGGTTCTGAAGGACAGGTTCACAGGCATGCACAAAGGTGAGTGCACCTTTCCCTCCCAACTTTGCCAGGGAGAAGGAGCGGGCGGGCGGCCGATCGGCCGGCGACTGACGAGCGGGAGATGGGCGAGAGGGAGCCGCGGGCGGGCGGGCGCCGAAGAGGGAGGCGCTCGGGCAGCGGAGACCTGAGCTGGGGTGCGTGGGGGAGCTGCTCGCTGGGGCAAAGCTTGGTTTTGGGGGAGAAGCTGATAGGAGCTGTGCCATGGGGAGAGCAGCGGGAGCAGAAGATGAAGAGAAAGAGGGGATGGTGGGGGAAATGGGGCTTGGGTTTTTGAGTAAAGCGACTTGAAAGATTGGGATAGGGACTGCTGCACCGGGCGAGACCTGGACGCTGAGCTGACTGGCAGGCGCTCGCGGGCCAGGGACCTAGGGTGCTGTCCATCGCCGTGGTGCTGAAAATACTACAGGAGATGGTCTCTTCATCCTCCGCTCTGGGCCAGAGTAGCAGGAGCACAGCCGTCTAAAAGGGAGAGAGGTGACAAATTCAAAGAATTTTTTTTTGCTATTAATTTTACAGTAAACTCTCCTTATCGAGCTGTGTGCCTCAATAATCTGGTTGTTGTGTGAGTGGTGGTGTGGAGAGTGGGGGGAAGGGGGTAGCTTGAATGTTTGAAGGAAGGAGTAATAAAACCTAAGGCAAGAATTAGCAAGGATCCTGTCATCCCCTGGGTGGAGTGGGGGTCTGGGAAAACTGGATAGTCCCTTTCCCAGGAAAGCTGAGCTTTTGGGGGAAAATCGTATGTGTGTGTGCAAGATATGCTTTTTGAAGGGTGCACCCGAATTTATCCCAAACTCACCATGCAGAGTCCTTTATAGTATATTACTGCTCCCTTGAAGCAATTATTGCTAGTGAGTGCTTGGGGGAGGGGGAGACAAAATAATCAAAGAATTAAAACCTAACAACTTTTTAGGAAAGTGGTCATGGGAATTGTCTGCAGTCTGCCTGTTTTCTCCTTGTTTTATTATCTTTAAGGCAGAGCCCCAAATGTGTTCAGTTGTAGAATGTGTGTGGGTGGCTGGTGGGTGACGAAATTAGCCCAGTGCTCCGCTCCCTAACAGTAATGTATAGGATGTGCAGCGGGGATTAATCGGTGCTGGAGCTGTGTGGGCAAGTTAAATGCTTTCTGAGAGAGATTGATCGCCAGGCAGGGAAGGAGCACGGGGCTAAGGAAGTTGTAGGGGATGTGTATGGACGTTCCGTTTTTAATAAACAGTAGTGTGGAGAACCGCCGAAGATGCTGTGTTAGAGCTGGTGGTTTCAAAGATGAAAACACACGTACACCCACCCCCACATAGAGAGCAGCCTCATCCTTGGCCACAAATGGGCTCTGAACAGAGCTGATCCTCTAGCACATTAGGTGCAGGGCGCAAAGCTGTCTGGCTCTCTAAGCAGCAGTGGTTTTCACTACCACAACCACCCTCCTTCTCCAGCCCTCCCTTCATCCGAATACTAAACAGAGCTCCAAACTCTTCATAGTTGGAGTCCCAGAGAGCAGTTTTTATTGGCTTTAGCATCTTCCAGCTTGCCTGCTGAGGAGTAAATCTTAAAGTTAATGGCATGTTGAGTAGCACAAAATCACAGCAGAATGGAAATATACTGGGTTTGTTGGGGTGGGGTGATGGTGGGGGCTGTAATGGAAAGAGAAACCAACCTTTATCCAATATGGAGAAAATGCCTGTCTGTTCAAAAGATAGATTGAAAAGGTGGAGTGGGGAGGCAGTCTTCAAAATAGTCAAAGAAAAAAAAAAAAAACACTTTCCCCTCCCTCTCAAGTGAATCATATCTTTGTAGTTTTTCCCTTTCCAATCAAGCTCCCTAGGAGCTAATCAAGGTTTGTATCAAACCTTTGTCATTCTAATACATCCCCAGTTTTAAAAATAGTAATAATAAAAATTTTAATAGCATAAGTAGGGAAGTCTCTTGCCCATCTTAATGATCAGTTCTTGTGGTAATTTAAGATTTCAAACTTGAAAGAATTTAGAACCCACTATAGGCAAAAGACAGTTGTGAGGATCTGGGTGTCCTGTGGGATCTGAATTGGAGCATTTCATTTGCTTCTTTATTTCAAATGAAATAAACTTTAACAATATTTCTTGGTCTCTTCTCAACAATCACTTGCTGATATTACTTTGTTTTTGATGTAATGAGGACTCTCTGGTATTATAGTAAAGAAGTAGAAATTTTATCATTTGTATCAGGGAGATAGAGAAGGTTATTATATGTATATATCATATACATATCTATATGTAGCTATCTATATATAGATATGTACATGATGTATATACACATATCATATATACATATATATAACCCTCCAGAATTCCTAGGACAGGAAAAACTTCATTTTCTAAATAATTCCTCTCCCAAACTGTCTCAGTCAGTGATAGGCAGGCCCGGTGGCTCCGGCACACTGGGTGCTTCGTTGTCGCAGCTCACCCGTTAGCCTGAGCATATATCTTTCCTTATGAAACTTCCTGCCTCTCCATCCCTTTGATTTTTCGAGTTGAGGTTGGGGCACAATGTCTCTAGCAGTGCCTGGAAGCTCCCAGAGAGCTGAATAAATGAGACCATTTCCAAGGGCTGGTTTATTCAGTCCTAGTAGAGTTTGAACTCCTCCTTCAGTGATGCAGCCTGATTTATCAGCTAATCCTTATAAAATAAGCCTCTGGCCACCTTAAAAAATTACATGCTTGCCATTGGTGATTAATTACTGTTAAGTCAAAAAGCATGATGAGGTTTGAAGAATGAGGATTGCATTTGGCTTCTACATTTCCCCCATTTGTACATTGACAACGTGAGTCTAGGGTAGAATCATGCCTTTGTTAAGCCTGGTTTCAGGGCATGTTTGTGACTCTTGCTCTCCCCTTCTTGAATGTCTAACTTCTAATGAATCATTCTGGGTTAAAATTGAGAGACCCAACAGGGTACTGGCCTCCAGCATGGATGGCATATGTATGTTATTAGTTTTTAAAAAGCAGTAAAAACTAAATGAAATGCATGAGATTTCAGGTGGGTATCCATTTGTTGGGCACCTGCCATTTCAGGTAACTAAAGAAAGAAGGAGTTCTAAGGGTTAATGGAATACCTGCCATGCGTAGAGTGCACCTTAAAAGGCAATTACTCCAGTCAAATTGGGAGTCTGTGGAGGAGGGAGTGGGTGGGTGTTGTGGAGAAAACCCAGCTATGTCTGAGAAAGGCTGTTGGGCTGGGAAGTAGCAAATAGCAGCTGTGGACCAGGGTAATTACTGTAAAGGTATATTTACCCCCTGGAGACCAGCAAGCATTGGGGAGAGGGGGATCTGGGTGCTGGGCAGAGGCAGAAAGGGAAAAAAAAGCCCCAAATCAAAATTCAAAGAAACAACACCCCAGGAAGAAAAGCCACTTTAATGCAAACTCTCTGGTTAACTCAGTCTTCTTTTCTCCCCCATTGGACGCACTTTTCAAAAGATTGTTTTTCTGGCCTGCAAAAAGAAAGACATTTTACTATTGATTAAAGAAGAGCGAGGCAAATTCCCTGGGTAGCTGCAGAAATGAGCTGAGGACCAATTTTGCCCCTTTTTGTAGAATTTTTCTTCCTTGGAGAAGGGAACAGATCACCCACTAGTGTACTTCTCCTCTTCTCTCATTTTTAATTTACTTCTCTATTCTTTTTATTTCCTGGAGAACAAATAGAGGCAATGACCAAAGATACATATATACAAACACACATACACACACACACACACACACACACAGTGGATCACACATGAATAAGCCGGCAATCCATTCATAACTTTGGTCCTGTCTAGCAGGATAGGAGGCAGCAAAGACTGAGTTACTGGGAGACATAAAGACTAGTGCTCTCTGGATAGCCATATTATAATGCATTATCTTTGAAGTCATTTAAGTCCAATTTAAGTGGTATTTAGTATAATATTTATGAATTAATGTAATATAAACATAGGGCTGTCCCCAAAGGTTTAAACAGCCTTTACTACTGATGTGTGCTTGTTCCCAGAGCCTGCAATGCATTTTAATCTAAACAGCTAAGTCCCTATCATAGTACCTCCTGTTATCCGTTCAGAGCAGATCTGTGCCTGGGTAACTACTCTGCCTTGAGATTTCTCCCACTTCATGGAGGAAAATGTACTCAACTGACAGTCTGGGCAGGGCAGGGGTTCCCAACCCAGAAGCCACAGCTGCAGGGACATCAGCCTCTCGGACTTTCACACTACACCCAGAAGGAGGGTGGAGACAGAGTAAAGGAATCTTCTGTGGATTTAGCTCCGGAAAGTGTATCATTTTCAGATATGCTCACCATCAGCTGCACAAGCTCCTGTTTCCTACCTGAGTAGGAAGTGCCTGAAGCCCCTTGATTTGGGGTGTGACCGGGAAAAACTGGAAAGACAAGGTCTATTATTATGTTTTGGTGATTTATGACTATCTTCATGAAATTACACTTTATGTTTGCATTTAAATGCAACAATTTTCAGAATATTGCATTTCCACCTCTCAACTTTAGCCGAGGTAGCTCATAGGTGAATTAAAACCACGAGGCTGTGTCTGATTTCTGTTTTAAAATGAGTCTAAGAGTGAAGTTAAAGTATCAGCATCAGCTCAAAAAGATGAACTTTTTCTTAATTACTTTGGAAAATAAAAAGTCATTTTTTTGTACAGGAAAAAAGACTCCCGAATGACTGGTTACATACCTATAGTTTTTAAAAGAAAGATTTGCATTGCCAGATATAGGGAAAATAGAATACACAGCATATGAAAACAAGAAAAACACTTTCAAAAAATAAGTTTTACCAAAGAAAATGATCAGTAGCAATCATTACAAGACTAAAGTGCATCAAGGCAACAGCCAACATTTAAAAAAAAAAAAAAACTCCAAATTCCAGATGTTAATGTGTTCTATTTAAAAGAAAAGAAAAAAATTATTAGGAAATTATTGGTTTATTTAGGAGACTGGTGGTTATTTTTATTTGTGCATAATTTTA